TGTTGGTTCGATCCCAGCCACGTGTCGAAGTATCCTTGAGCAAGATACTGAACCCCGAATTGCTCCCGATGCTATACATTGGTGTGTGAATGTGTATGAATGAGTTAGTTTCTGTTGTGTGAAAGGGTGAATGTGGCACGTTGTGTAAAAGCGCTTTGAGTGGTCCGAAGACTAGAAAGGCGTTTTGATTTGGCACTATACAAATAAAATTTAATTGAATTAAATAAACTGTTTTTGTTTTCTTTTCTTTGTTGGATAATGCGTAAAATGAACTGCTGCAGCTCTGTCACCTCCTGCTGCTGCCGCCGCATGATCTTGTCCGCTTTCCAGGTGAGGTACAGTTCAAATCCAACGAGCCTACTCGTTTAAATAAAGTTTTATGGTAGATAAAGTTCTCACCGATGGCGGGCGCGTTGATGCAGAGCTCTCGAGCCAGCAGCAGGAAGGTTTTTCCCAGGATGTAAACATTCACCTGAACATACAAACTCAAAGTTAGAACTGGACCTGGTCTACTGTCGGACTAGGTCTCTGCCAGGCTGAGGGTAGTCCTACCTGCAGCAGGTCACTCAGGTCCAGTAACATGTCTGAAACACAGTTCAGGAAAACTGGAGGTCAAAGGTCACAGTGAGGTCCAGACTGATAAATATAAAGATAAACATAAACACACTGGTTGTGAGGATACGTGGCGTCCCTTCGGTGCGACACACCAGGTAGAGGCAGGCGGCGATCACATGCTCCGTCTTACGTCCTCTCGTTAGGTGTTTACTGACCACCATCTTGAAGAAGTTGAAGGCCGTGTCCAAACAGTGCTGGTTTAACTGCAGCTGACTGCCGAGCTGCTGGATCTGACGCTTACCTGCAGAGACAGAAAGGGTTAGCTATACCTGAACCTTACCTGAAGGGTTCATTATACCTGAACCTTACCTGAGACACACAAAGGGTCAACTATTTTAATTTTTATTAGGGATGTTTGGATCCAATCTCCATTTGACATGAAAAACACACACAAAAAGTTACCTACTACCAACACTAAAAATACACAAAAAAGGTGAAAGAAGAAGAAAAACACACAAAGAAGAGCTGAAAATGCCCCAAACTCAGATCAAAAGCAGCCAATAAGAGCAGCTCAACTTACAGTACGTCACCGCTGCTGGCTGCTAAACACCCAACATCGGAGACGACCATAAAGCCAACCTGGAGGCTTCAGAGCTCCACAGACCCAATGGGGGACCACAGAGTCCCAGCTGCATCTGATCAGAATTGATCAGTTTATAATGAACCACACTGATGATGATGATGAAGGTACTCACCGCCCTGCAGGGTCTGGGCTCTGGACTCTTTCCCAACACTGGTGTGAAAACCAGAACCAAGAAGAGGAGCTTTAACTGGACCTACAGACAGATCAACAAACATTAATAGATACTGATAACATATCAATATCTGACCATTAGGTTTTATTATGTTCTGGTGTTTTTGTGAAGTTGTGAGGAGTCCTGGTGGTCTACTGGTATAAGGCAGTGGTTTCCCAACCTGGGGTTCTGGAGCCCACTAGGGATTGCCAAAGCTTCACAGGGGGGTCCCGAGGTCTTCCTGATTTCAATGGTTGTTAAAACATTTAAAATAAACAGTCACCAATATCTCAGTGTTTCATTAATTCCTGTGAATAAACCAAAACTGTTGTTTAAGAGTGAATAGAACAATAATGAACAAACTCAGAGTCTATTAAGTATGTGGTGATTGTTAAAAAATTGATAAAAAATATACAATTACAGACAGAGAATTGTATAAAACAATATCAGGAAAAACTAATCTCTGCTAAATAATCACAGGAAATATGGTGTTCACTGGGTTCCTCATACAGATGATCAATACTGAAATTGATACTCAGTTAACTCACTCAGAACAAGGTGAGAACCTCCAGCTGTAATCAGACTCAATCAGCCTCAGCTTTGACTGGCTCCTCTGTTACCTTGGCAGGTAATTAACTCACCAGGTTGCAGAAGGGAAGCTTTTTGTCCACAGACAGAACGTTTCTGCAGCTTCAACATGAGAACTGCTGCTTTCGTCATCGGGTGAGTACAGCTAATCTTCCTTGGAGCAGGTAACCAATACAGCCTTCCACCTGAGAGGTAACAATACAGCTCACCTGGAGCAGGGTAAGCAATACAGCTCACCTGTAGCAGGTAACAATACAGTCACCTTTGAGCAGGTAACAATACAGCTACCTGAGAAATACAGCTCACCTGAGCAGGTAAAAACTGAACCTCAATGCTTTTTTTTTTCCAGACTCATCTTAATCTGCTGCGAGTTCACAGAAAAAACAACAGTTGAAGGTAAACTGTTTTTTCTGGTTTATTTACAGTCTTTACTGGTGGACTTTAACCAACTGAATTTGGTCAAATTTGTGTTGTCAGGTTTAGAAGAAACTGTTGTTCAGTCAGAGTGTCGGGATCGTTACCTGTGGATCCACGTGGCCTCACCACAGACACCTCGCTTCGAGGCCGTAGGTCAGTTCACTTCTGTAGTCCTCAGTACTAAAGCTTGAAATACACCTGTCACTGATGGCAGTGCTCACTCTCTCCTGACTTAGATAGAAACGGCGTCCACTCCATTAGCGAGCACCTCGCCTCCCGATGCGGTTACACCATCAGCACCTTCAAGATGGACGGTTTCACCACCTTCAGAGCGTCATACTACTCCTGCTTCACCCACAACCGGTAAGCTCAGCCCCTCCAAAGCCCTGGGGTCTTTTATAAAAACTGTGGTCGTGAAGATCGTTACTAAAAGTGTACGTACGCCAAAAAATATTCAGGACTTATAAAACCCTGCGTACGCACACCTAAAGCAATGTTTGCTTTATAAATCACAGGCGTGCCTACAAATGTGCGCATCTGAATCAGCTTTCACGTTCCGCCCTGTACACGCCCCTTTTTTTAACCATAAATGGTCAATGGCAAACGACCTCCATGGAATGCGATCTGCATATAAAACAGACTCAGACGCAGGTATTTATGTCTTGTCGGAAACAATAGTCAGGAAGGACTGAGAAAAGGGGCAAAAATGCGGTAAATTTCACGGAGGTTTGAAGGTGGAGACACGGGAGGTTGAAGTGGAGACAACACAGGGTTTAGCGGTTAGGTAGCTCAGCCCTCAAAGCCCTGATCCACAACCAGGTAGCTCAGCCCCTCCAAAAAGCCCTGATCACGAACCAGGTAGGTCAGGCCCCTCCCAAAGCCCTGATTTCCACAACCAGTAGCTCAGCCCCTCCAAAGCCCTGATTCCACAAACCAGGTAGCTCAGCCCCTCCAAAGCCCTGATCCACAACCAGGGTAGCTCAGCCCCCTCCAAAGGCCCTGATCCACAAAACCAGGGTAGCTCAAGCCCTCCAAAGCCCTGATCCACCAACCAGTAGCTCAGCCCCTCCAAAGCCCTGATCCACAAACCAGGTAGCTCAGCCCCTCCAAAAGCCCTGATCCACAACCAGGATAGCTCAGCCCCTCAAAGCCCTTGATCCACAACCAGGTAGGCTCAGCCCCTCCAAAAGCCCTGATCCACCAACCAGGTAGCTCAGCCCCTCCAAAGCCCTGATCCACAACCAGGTAGCCTCAGCCCCTCCAAAAGCCCTGATCCACAACCAGGTAGCTAGGGCCACGATCCACAACCAGGTAGCTCAGCCCCTCCAAAGCCCTGATCCACAACCAGGTAGCTCCACCTCTTCAGAACCAGGTAGTGCCACCTCTGACCCACAGGTAGCTCAGGAGTCCGGACTGTGGACTGCGGCTATGAAGATGAAGTTTTGTGTTGTTTTTTTTTTTTTTAGAATGATGAGGCGTTCACTTAGATTTAATGTCATGGTGAGCAATGCTGGTGGTGGGTGGATCAGCCAGCCTGTTTCTGCAGTCTGTTCTGGTCTGATCTGGACCCACAGAGAGATCATCTGTGAGGAGGACTACATGGAGGTTAGGATACTACTGGCAGTCTAAAAGCTAACTGAACTGTGTTGAGACTAATGTGGTTTAAAGGTGGGTTTTGTGATGTTGACCAGGTGAATGTGAACAGAGAGTCTTCATGTGGAGGCCAGCAGGGGGACAGTGGACCGATGTGGCAGACCGCTTTCTCTCGGGTACAATCACACCAATACAAACTCTACTCTAGTAGCTCTCTGGCACCTTCAAGTCTCACATGAAATTAATCTAAGTAATCAATAGCAAAAAAAATGGTTAATGATTAGCTGGTTAATGAGCCTCAGCAGGCAGCAGCCCCCCATCCATGCAGTAAAGCAGCTAGTTAAAAGAGTCTTTATATTGAGACCAATTTCATAGTTTCCTGAGCGTTTCTTCTTTCTGACTATTCGACTAGTCTTTATGTCAAAATTAGTTGCCAGGAACATACAGGTGATGTTTTCACAGTAAAATATAAACGTTTGCCTTTTTTTAGTTGGTCCCTCTTCATCCAAATGATGAGCTAAACAACAATAACAGACTTGTCCTTTAGAACTTGGCTTTAAAGGTTTTGTGTTTGGTTTGTGGTGTTCAGGCTCAGAGGACGGCAAGTTCTGTCTGGCAGCTGATGGTCCTGCAAAGTGATGGACAAGTTTCCTTTATGTCCATCAGTGAAGCCCAGAGGCGGGGCTATAGCCTGAGCACCAGCACCCAGAGGGTGGTGCTTCGATCTCAGTACAAACAGCCACACACCGAGCTGACAATGGTGGGTAACCATGTAGGGCTACAGATTTCATGGCTTCAGTATAAAATAAAATGTTTTTTATGAAAGGTTGTCTGCTGCTGAGCAGGACACATTTTCAGGAATCTCCCTGATGAGTGTGGTCAATAAACTTTTTTTTTTTTTCTTTACTGCATTGTCCATATGTCCTTAATTTACTTAATTTAAAACTAATTCTTGATGTTTATTATCAGGTGGATGGTGTCCCCACGGAGGTCGTCCGGGTCTCTTTGTTCTTTAAGCAAAAGCTGACAGTGGTGATGATCGATATGTCCATGGCCTGTACAGTCAGTAAGTTCTCCCAAACAAACACACCTGTGTAATGGGTAAATGGTGCTGACAGTAATTCTGCTGGTATTCCCTCAGATTCAGGTTCTTTTGACGGCGCCCGGTTGCTCTGGGATGTCCCCCGGGTTGTGACCCCATTGGTCAGAGAGGAGGCAGGGTTTGAAAGTCAAAGCCTCAGTCTGGGGGTGGAGGGGGTGATGCTGGACAAACCCACCGCTGCTGCCAGAGGATTCAGTCTGGTCCAACAAGGACATCTGATCCAGATTGGGGTTCCTTTTGGGGCTGAGGGCGGCTACAGGAAGGTAGTCAGTCCCGACCAAACAAAGGCTTTGAAGAGCTCAAACTGTTTGTCACACTACACAAGCAGATTGTACACCTCACTGTCAGTTTCTTTTCCACAGAGCTTGGTGGTGAACAACGTGTACAAGGAGATGTATGTGATCTTCCTGGTGTATGAACACCTCTTCTCTCTGCTGTATGAGGACGGCAGCAGCATTGGCACGAGACACCGAATGCTTAGAGTGCTTGACACACCGCTGCTCTGCCGTCCACCCTTCAGCCTCGACCGTAAGTCTCCCAGTTTACAGAACAGTAAGTCTGTCTTAGAACAAACAATGTCCTCTGCCTGGTTGCATCCCACTGCCTCCCTGGTCTCTCTCCAACAGTCTTTGTAGCATTAACACATGACGTTGATCTGACAAGCACTTGGTTTGAAACCGACCTTTTCCACCAACAGGGAACCGGCACTGTTCCGGTTCAAGCACCTAGTTTAGAACCGTTGTAGCATTTCATCTAATTGCTATGGGTCCAAAACTGGTGTAAACATGGGCTGGCTTGCTAGATGGCACCAAGGTTCCAAGAACCTTGAATGACCTTGTTCAACTAAAAGGGGCCAGAGACCTTCAAGGTTCATGTTAACCTATACATTAATAGTGTGCCAATCACAACATCAAAGGACCGCATCTACAAACTGTTTTTTCCCCCGAATTGCCTCTGGTTCTTCAACCGGTTCCGATCAAGAAAACCAGCCTGTGTCTCCACCTGTTCAGAGTGAAAGCATCATAATTAAGGATGCATCATCAACAGAGGGCACTGCACAACAACCTGTAGAATGTCGATGGAAAATCAACTGGGAACAATTTTGATAATCACAATGTTTTAAGCAGAAATGCCAAATATTCTCTGGTTCCAGTATCTGTAAAATTGTTTTTGTTTTTATACTATTGCAAGTTGAATATCTAATCTAATGTCTGGAAACTGCCAAAGGAATCACTTTGGGAACTAAAGATGGACGTTTGGTGCTTTTTAGACCACATGAATAATTAGTTTTTATGTATCAGTCTGGACTCTCTTGATTTTCTTCTTGTAGAGACTAGGAGTG